CGGTCTACGTTTCCTTTTGTTCTGGCCGAAACCGCCCGGTTACACGCCCGGGGATATCCACCTGCAAATTGTACGTGCGGATTCGCTGTTAGTTGCCCACTGCGGCGATATCAGATTGCTTGCGCAAGTTTCGTCTGCTAATGAAGGCGAGATAAGAGTGACATTGCCAAAGACACCTTTGCATTTCAAGTATCGAGCTATACTAACAGGTTGTTTTTGAATTTTCCACATTTTTCCTATTCTTCTTCTATTTTCTTCTTATTTTCAAAATTTATATTGCATTTCTCGCCAATTATCAACGTGAATGTTTACGGTATTTTATCTTTGTCAAATGCTGCATAAATGATTTTTATTACATCTATCACGCGTGATAATGAAATATAAATTATTAAGTATACAATATTTCATTAAAATTGAGTTTTTGATCATTTTCAACATTTGTACGGTCTCTTTCGAGTGCCAGTTTTCTTTATGCTACGTAGATAATTTTTACACCGGAAGCTTTCTAAAAGCGATAAGATTGGTGAATTTATACCAAGCAATCGGCGGACAGAACTTAACTGCAACAGCAATGGAGCTTACTGTGTTCTAATCGCTGTACTAATTGGAAATCTGTCGATAAGCGACGGTTAATAATTCCAACCACTGAAGGATTTCGGCTAACTATGTGAAAAGCTATCTCTTGCTGCATCGAAGATATAAGTGATGCTTCTGACGGACAAATCATCCATAAAATTGAAATTTACCAATTTGCCTGAGGCTTCGCATTCGGCTCGCACGTGATAAAAATTTAGTTATTTTAGTTCCGACGGACATGATAAATGATCGGTCTGACGCATATATCTCCTTTAGTCTCTACCTTTTCGCTTTATCGATTTTGAAGCGCTGTGCTTTGAAGAACGATAACTTTCGATATGATAGACTTGTTTTTTTTTTTTTTATTTCTAGCCCGTACATCGCACCTTAGCGAAAAGAAGAAAGAAAAAAGCATAAAGCATGTTGAAAGAATTTTCTAAATAGACAAAGTAACGTGTAATAGTCACACAGCAAAAAATAAAAAATCGTTTGCTAAGTTTTTTTATAACAAATAAAAGAAATTCTTCCAAGTGTCTATTTCAACGTGTTAACCGATCAGCGATACTTTTACGCTCTGCGATACTTGTAGATGGGAACAAAATGCAATGATGATTTTTAAGGTTTCGAGAGATTACGAGGGTTAAAGTCTAGATGTTAAAGGTCTTCGACCTCCGGCGCACATCCCTTCACAATAGGAACCGATAAGCCGGATTGTCGCGATAAAAGAGGGAAAGTCGATGATACTCGACTGCTAACTTACCACGTGGTGATAGTTGCCCCGCAGTGGTAGCTCTGCTCTCTCCGCTGACTACGTTATACCGCCAACGGTAACGCCGCGCACAAACGCGACCGATGTCACCGAGCGTGGCACATGATCGCTCTCTCTTTCTCTCTCTTTCTCCCTCTCTCTCTCTTTTCTCTCTCTCTCTCGATCCTCGGTACAATACCGATTCAGCGAGCCTCGAGTTACGCGTCTGCGTGCCCTCTGCTGCCGAACTACTCTCGCGTCTCCGGCTTGTCGCGTCACCGATTATAATTATTATTCGTGCCGATCGAGCGTTCGCGCGCACCGACGTGAAGAGCAGTGATGACGGCCGACCAATTGAGAAGGAATACGACGTCGTCGTCGCGCGACGATCGACGGCATGCTACGCGACGCCTGTCGAGCACGTCGTCGCTTTCGGCGTCGATCGCTACCACCGACACGCTAACGGCCACCGAGCGTCGCGATCGGGACGGCGGCGCCCGCGCGTTCTTCCTCGCGTACGACGATCGACGGATGTAATACGAGGCACGCGTCGCTCGCCACGCGGTCATCCGCGACCGTCCCGTCGAGCGACATGCCGCGGCGGCTACGCTCGAACCGATGGCGCGTCGTCCGGCGTGGACGCGTTCCCGCACTCCTCGCGCTTACCGCGGCACCGACGACGTACAACCACGGAGTCCGTGTCTTTCCCACGCGACCGATGAACGCCCGTGGCCCGATATCGACGCCGACAGCAAACCCTCTTTAAGGGACGGCCGGTGTGCAACAAGTGTCTCGGAGCGACGACACTCGTCTCACGTGCCGCCGCTGCGCTCTCGCCTACTCTTCTGCACGTTTAACCACTCGCAGCGATACACTCGATACTCTTCGTCCGACCCGTCGACGCCAGGAGGCTCGTTCTTGACGTGACGACGTAGGAGAGGCGCGATGATATCTGGGGAGAACAGAGAACAGAAAATGTCGATTATTCATTGACTGCCAGTTTGAGAAATAAAATGCCACGTCGAAATGTCTTCGACTTGTCATTTCAACAAATACATCGATTCGTCGGGCGCGAGCGAAGTTATTTCCCCGGGGAAGTTAGGCGGAATATCTGGTTGAGTTCTGTCTGCGAGGACTAGAGATGCCTCTTTAAGGGTTAAGCACCCGACGTTGATGGAGAAGTAATGGGCTGGAGATTAGGATGTGGCCCGTCGAAATTGCTAATATCGATTATGCCAAACCTCAAGTGTGCGGGGCGGTTCATACGTTCGTTACGCTCAGATTAATCTCCAGGGAATTAGAGTAGCAAATGGGCCGTAACGGCCTATGACATAACTCGAACGGACATTTCAAGTTGTCCTGTAGGCGAAATTTCTTTATGCAATCTCCATCACATTGTACATTCTAAATAATCATTAATACAGCGATTGTGTCGACCGTTAAAACAGTGCGATTCATTGAAACATTGATATTAGCAAAACATAGCTTAATTGATCATTTTCTTCGCGGATCAGAATGGGGGAAAAAAGTTGAAAGAATTTTAAATGAAAGATCGCGCAATTATTATTAAATTGATTTTTTTTTTATATTTATTAAACGAGAGATTTTCTTCCGTGAAATCTCTTGTAACCAACTGTCTAAAGCTAAAATTTCTTAATCACTTTTTAACTGGCTTGTCGATAGACGCATACACGCTGTCGGATGACAAGATGATGGATGCGTGATCGCATTAGCTATGTACGCATTCTATAGGAAATGTATATAGGACGAGTAGGTCGAGAGTGGCTGGTGAAAGAGAAAAGAGGGTTGTGAATACGAGAACGGGGGCCAAGCAGGATTTGAATACAAAGACATTGAGCTGTCGCGTCTAGTCGGCCTGATGTATTATTTTGTCTCCTCTTATTCCCGCTTTGCGCACACAAAAAGCTACCTTGGCAGCGTGCTCAATCGTTTGACATTTCAACGTGAAAAAATACTCGTGCGATATTTCACATTAACAATGAGAGCGATTCGTTCTCGCGGAAAAGACTTGTACACACCATTCCTTCTCTTCATCCGTCACAAAGTTTTGTCGGGTTTTGACATCGATACAAATATCTTTTTCCGATTAACTAGAAGGAAAGCGACTTGGAAATAATCGAAACGTGAATTCTTACAATATTTATAGCTTTATAGCGTTTTAGCGAGACGTTTATTGAAATATCTCGTTTCTCGATAGACAACGGGCGCATTGCTTCGCGTTCTCGTAGATCGATCGATAAATAATTAGCCGGCGAGAGGCCGCGCGATGCTCGATCTTCGAGCGGCGCGTTAAATTGATTCCGCATAACGAAGAACAATGGCTGTCGCATACGGAATGAATATTAGGAGTCCTTGCACAGCATCGGATAAATTATGTAGGCAACGAGAGGGTCTCGTTTTATTGCCGGCGGGGTCGTCATGCCGCTGCAATCCGGGCGTAAACTCGACGGCTCTCTCATATGGAAATCGTGTAACTTGAAAGTATAATATGGAAAAAAATATCCATCGTCGGCGGTCTACGTTACCAGAGTACGTTTGTTTTAGCTTATAAAAATTCCGGTTGAAAATCGAAGTGTATTTATCCCGGGGAGGAGCGCTCGGGAAAGTTAACGGAGTAACGCGAGGCGCTTCGATGAATAATCCTTTGTGAAATTCATCTGCCAAAGATTATGGCGGAAGTCAGGCGAGTTCTAGTCTGCTAAATATTGTGCGCGAACCGCAATTACAGTGGCTAATTTTACGTTTCGTCGGATCGCAGACGAAACGCGCGCAAATTTAATCAGCAAATTGGAAATGAAAAGGACGTTTCCGTCCGCCAAAGTGAATAGAATTTCAGATGAAAATTAGCGGTGCGACGCAACTTGATCTAAACTAATGAAAATAAATATAAATTAATATCTGAAATCCCACCGGAGCAAGTGAGCACGCTCTCGGTGGTATCCGCGCGGAGCAATCTCATTAGTGCGTAATCTTAAATCACTTCAATGTCTCGGTTAGTGTACGCCTCTGCGCTTAATCAGAGTGGTGTGTCTGCAACGTATCGCCTCGAAACGCTTTCGTGTTCATAGCATCACAACGACGCTTGCGACACTCATCTGTTACGACGGTGCCGCGCAAGTCATACGACACCTATCACGGCACAAAATGCAGAGTATTCCAAAGTTCTTGCTCGCGAGATCCAATTGAATGCAGTCATTAATGTGTCTTACCAGCAATAAATTAATTTAGAAAACTCTCTTAACGCTTCAATTAAGTGATATTTCAAGCTATTGTATACATAATTGTTCGTGTAATCGTGTAATCTATAAACACTTGGAAAAAAAATTATATTATATAAGCTAAAACAACAATTCTCTTATGACGTTGCTCAACTTATTAACAGATACAGTGGATGTAACATGATAAAGCCCGGTGGAAATCTGTCGAAACTTTTCGTCGAAATTCGCCGAAAATAAATCGGTGCACGGTGCATATTCCCGTTGAAAATACTCCACAATGAAAACGAGATATTCGTTTGCGACAACCATCATAAACTGCGCAACTTTATTTCTCCGCGTCTCCCCTGATATTTTTCGATTGCGTTTACAGCGCACACGATCGGCGTGGTTTGATCGATAGCAGAACGGTTCAACGAGATTTTCCGTATCGTAGCGTTTGATAAAAGCGCGATAATATGTGATAACGGATTTTTTTACAATTATTTTATTCATTTAGATTTTTTCATTTTGCTCTTACAGTGAAATTATAAAAAATAGAGAGATAAAAATTACATTTTGTCTGCCTGTCTAAAAAATACACATTTTGCGGATATCACAGTGATGCCGTGCAGCGGCAGAATTTGCGGGGAAGAAGTTTCAGCGCGGATATAACTTGCGCCTCGAAGGTGCATCGATCGGTCGCTCCGTACGACACTATGATGGTGTACACATTCGACGGCTGCGAATGGTCGTACGCTGTCGTCGCCGGCAATAAATGCAGGCACTGCAGTTCCTCACTTTACGATCGATGCGTCGATGTTGACGCGTTTACGTTTACGCGCGCCGCGGTTGATTGCGACGAAATGCTGCACGCCAGCGTAGCAGTAGACAAACGGATCGGTTCGGCTCGGCTTGGCGCGACCCGATTGGCCTACACATCACATACCGACGCATTAAACCAGAATCTGCGGTACGCGAAAACAGGCGGAATCGCGAAGAGCGTGAATTTACGCGCGCGCGCGAGTGTAAACGTAACGAATTTTTTACGACCTATCGATTCCACCGCTAATGGAAGTTCCACTTTTTCTCGTTCGTTAATATGTAAAAAGGATGCTGTTCGATGCATACCATTGTGTAAGCGATATTCGCGTGGGAGTTACGGTATCGATTATCGTGTATGGCAAATCACTTGCGTCGCCACGCGATCCATTTGATTATTCAAATTTGATAGCGTGTGACCGAAGCGCGAACAATTCGCGAATTGATCTCGAAGTCCGTCGCGATATTATTCTCATATTTTTGCATGAAACAGTTCCGCTTTCAGCTTGGCAATGGAAAAAAATATGACCATCGTAATAAACTGCGATTTTATTCACGCTTGGAAAGCAAGATTTTCAAATCATTATTTGAGAAAAAAATGCATTTGAAAGCAAGATGAAAAACTCCATTGCGTTATGAAAAATATCCCAACTCGTGCAAAGATTCTGTTTTTATTCGCGCAGCGTCGATTTTTGTATTAAAAGATATATTTTCATATTGAATTATATTTTCAGGAGTTATTTTAAAAATTGCATTTTAAAACTGCGAAAAATCGCGCACCGTTAGACAGCTGAAAACAAATGAAAATGGACGCAAATGTTTCACGATTCGATGAATCGCACGATGGTTACCTACAACAAAAAAAAAGAGAAAAAAGAACACGAAAACACGTATACGGGTTACAAACGTTAACGACACATTCTGCGTGCCCACTTCGTTTGTCGGATTGATCGAGTTTGTTAAATTAAACTCGATATTTTGCGCCCAAGTTTCTCATAGGTTTTTACGCGGTCGACTCGGCTTTAGCGTGCGTGTCAAAAGTACCTTATTGCAGATTGCAAAATGGCCGAGAAAAAGGAATAAATAAAAAAGAAAAAGACAAAGAGGAAAGAAAAATAGGAGCCGCGCGAATGGAATTCCGCGAAAATCGAATGGAAACGGCCAATGAAACGAGTGAAAAGAGCGCCGACTATTCCGACGCGACGCGCCCGATGTAGTTTCCTGCTGAATGCTACTTGAAAGAGCGACTTTAACTCTTTACCTAGGAATATATCCTATGTACCCTGCGTTGTGAATATTCACGCGTCGCATGTCGCAAGATTGGGAACATTTTTTCCGGTGATGGAAAACACAATTTTCAAATACATAATGTAGCAAAAATAATAGTACGGTTATTGGTTATTTGCCGCGACTGCGTGTTATCGTTATTTTGCATTGATTTACTAGGAACTTATGTTACATATTAGAATTGCAGAATAAATTTTTATTCTGTTTGTCGATAAATTTGAGAAAACGATTTATATGTATATAACGTGTAATGATTATCAAGGGTTAAAGTTCATTTACGATTACTGTTCTTCTTTCTTTCTCAGCAAAATTAAATTTATAGAATTCAGATTCGACGGTCTCGTTGATACTTGTTGATTGCTGTGGAGTGCAGAATATTGCGTGCGAAAAAGCGACCTCGGTAAAGAGCTTTTTGTATACTCTGGAATGGCTTTGAAGTCACTAGCTTTTTTCGCGGTATTGTAGAACGAAGAAAAAGATACATCAAAATTATTAACTTCCAACTCAAAAATGAGTTTGCTGGAGGAAAATATGGTGGAACTTGCACATGACTGGCACATCTAATGACGTAGAAAAGTATATTTCAGTTATTGCAAGTTTTAGGCATTATGTAAGTTCATTTACTCGCTTGTCGAACTTACTTGCCGCGAGCTGCCCCTAATGCCATTCGATCGATTGGCCGGAAACTTCAAGAGACCTTGCATTTACGCTGCGAAGGTAGACAAAATGCATCATTCTTGGCGACGCACAAGATTTATGACTTGCCGAAAGTTCAGCAAGCGGATTCACGTCAAAGCTTGAAACAAGAAGTATCTTAGGATATTCTTGTAACATCCGATTCCGAATTCTAATTACTCTTATAACGCAAATATACGAAATTTCGAGCTAATCGATCATTTTGCAAAAATAGAAACAAACTCGAATCTGATAAATCTTCGATACATCAAGATCGATTGATACACACTGATAATTCACGCGAAGACTCGACGCCTGAAATAAAGCGATATGAGCTTTAAGCTCGCGTTGCATTACTTAGAAGATTTACTAAGTCCAATGGATCGTTCGAGGTAGGTACGCGAGGCTTTACACGATGTAAGGGGATTATCGCTGCTTACGGCACCATACGGCATCATCCAGCTACTCATCCTGAGAACGAACTTATCGTCCTTCGACTTTATAGAAGAAGAGGTTTACCGAATTATCAGCGAACTTTCCGCTACCGCGGCGCGTTGTAGTTTGCGCTATTTTCGAGCGAAGAAGTGTAATTATTAATAGCGTGCTTCGCGTTGGAGAATGCTAAGTATGCTCAACCTCAATTTATTTTATTGCTCCTCTTGAGCTTTTTCGCACACCAACATCGAACACGCCTTGAACTTTCTACGGGCAAAGTTAGCTTTCTTCGGACGAGAAATTGCTTTACTTATTAAGAATAATTAGCGTTTCCACTTTGTTCTCCCGACTTTTATGTTTCCGAAACTAAATCGCAACGGTCCGTAAAAGTACAAGAACCGAAAAAAGCGCGAATGCATAGTATTTTATATTCACGGCGTATATTTTCTTAAAAATTGTACGGAATAACTCTCGCGTAACCGTCATTAAAATTACAAGCAACGGGTGCTCTTAATGGTGAAATGGGAATACGTTTGATACATATTAAACAGAATGTTCCTTCTAAAATTAGATTATAGAGGATCAGGCAACCGTTAATGCAATCGCGTTAACTTGTAGAAAAGATAAATTAATGCGATTAGATTCGAGACAACGGAAGCGTGCTAACGATAATGCTAACGCAGTGGTATAACGTAGTGGTGTGTCGTATATATATGCAACATACGTGTATGTAAGGCCTTATATCCGCACACAGATTTGCATGAAGGCTTTCCGAGCAGATTACTGGTCATGTGGGTCGCGTTCTAAGTAGCCAACCGTTGGCCGGCTTAGCGGATTAACCTGTAAAGCTTCCGAGCTCGGGAGTTTATACGGCTGAGATGAAGCTATGACGTTTAAAGACGCATTAGCAACGTAACTGAACCTTCACTGATCCTGTCATCCTGCGAAGACCGAATAGTTTGTAAACGGCGATCGCGATCACTAATTGATAATACATTGATGACGATTTGTACCTTTCCACTCGATGTCTTCGATTTTCATCTCGCCGCAGAGAGTTGGACGCTTTTATCACAATCTGAGGGATTTTAATATAATATTTTAAAGGAAGATCTTTTATGGTGAAGAGGTCACATTATATTTCTCCTCATGTGTATCCAACACTCTGAATAAAATGGAAAAGTACCGGAACCTGTTTAATCCCATTGTACAGTTTCTACGATTAAATCCATCATGCTGGTTCTTTCGCGGCGGTAAACCTGCGACCCGAGTCCTGTTTCGCATCCCGCAAAGTAATCCCGCGGACTATAACTTGTGAGGGCAACGTACAAGGAAGCGGGAAACAAAACACACGTACATTGGCTTAAAGCGACAAAACGGAACGGTTGGTCGGTCCGAAAATAGGATCGTCCTGGTGCGCGGCTGGCGCTCCCGGTGTGCGCTTTAAATTGTCGCTCCGCCGAGCATCGGTGGTTAATTCTGCGACGTGCACCTCTGGTCGTTGAACGGGAAAATAAAGTACCGCGCGCTCGCACTCGCACTCGCCACGGAAAAACCGCATCGCCGCGGCGGCGGAAAGTGCGCGCCAATGGTCGGCGAAGGGAGGTTTACAGCACCCGGCGCTGAGCAGGCGACCTGATAATCACCAGCGCAGGCCGCCACTAGATTTCGCGCACTTTTGTGTCCGCGAGTAAATTCACATGGCCGTAAGTGAAATACGGTAATGTCTGTGAAACGCAAGGGCATGCACGCGCGCGCTTTCGCATGCTTTCACGTTTTGATGGGAAAGCTCTTTGACGCACGAAAGCCACGTAGAATACCGTGTTGGGAGACATTTAATCTTAAAAGCGACATGCAATTACATATTTTTCCACTTACGCTTGATGAGTCAGGCAGAATAGAATTACCTACTCTCGTTACGTGGATAAGTTGATTTACTTTTTTATTTATACCCATTTAGCGCAGCACTGAATTTGATTAAAAAGCACGAAGTTCAAGTGTGTTAATAATACTTCACAGCAGCACGCATAATGTGATTATTGATATAGACACGTGTCGCTTTGTTATCAAAGATTTTATATCTTTTCTACATATAAATTTACTTGAATATATTCCTTGAATCAGCATATTTTTTCAAGCAAATAATTTGAAATAAATTACTTATTGTTGTTAGTGTATTATAATAATTCTTAAATTCACACAACTCTTGGATATCTTCAAAATTTTAATAAATTTATATTACATATTTCTATTTTATTAGAATATAAATCTTTGTTTATTCGAAATGCAATTTTTTTATTGATATTACATTTTTTTTATTATATTCTAGATGGATTTGAGGTTTTATTGATCCGCACGAGGACATGTCCTCTTTAAACGAATAGGAATCGAAGAGTTTGAAGCAGATTAAAAAGGAAAAATGTAAGTACCGCTTCCAGCTCTTCATTTTATTTTGAAATATCTCTGAAATTTTGAAATATCCCTGTATTTGTAATAACTATTGCAATAATTATTTAAAACATTTTGATGTTTATATTAACAACAATCGAATGCTTAAATCTTCGATTATCGCATACGTGATATAATTTCCGATGCATATATATACACGCCGCCAATTATACCGCGATTAATATATATATGTACATATAAACCCAGTTGCGGATTGTATTTCAAATCCGCGGATATTGCACGGACACATAAGATGGCATACGTATAGTCATGTCCAAGTTATATTGCCTGTTTAGCGTGTTGAGTCGACGACGCCATAACTAGATAGATGAATTACGAGTAACCGTTTCGCGTGTGTAACTTCGCGCATTTAAATCGGTTCTTTATGCTAAAAGAGAGATGGAGTGGAACGTCTAGAAATGTCACAATGATATTTGTGAGTAATACATTTGTGTTGAAAATTTGTATAAATATGATACTAACAAGTAATGAAATCAAATCGTAAAATTTATTTCTAAAACTACGTAGTGAATAGTAAGAAAGTAGTGAAATGGTTTTCGGTATTGCCAAAAAGAAAACAATTATGATATGATTAAATTTTCATCGCTATATTATATGTATTAATATTGCGCTTCAGCTGAGATAACGTGATGTCTAGAAGTATTTCGGAAGTTCCAAGGCACAGCTCGGGTGTGCATAGTAGTAAACAAGTTATGCAGTTTAGGGTATTTAGCAATCCTCCGGGATTGTTCGAGTATGCTTCGCAACTCGCCGAAACTGTGTCGTGCGAATCAAGTTCCGTTGATTCCGTTAGCAATCTGCCTTCTGTCGATTATATTTAGTCCAGGAAATTAACAAGGTTTGGCTGTAGTAGTTGATTTTCGATATTAAACATTTATCGGCGATATACATATTCACGATTTTGCATGGCGAGTTGTAGTTTGCAAAAGCTTGATATATTTTATTAAAGTGTAAATTCCGATGAATGTAGACGTGAAACGTATTGTTTGATTTTTGCGTGGCAGAAAATACGCATACCTACATGGATCGCATGTGTTGCGTTTTTAACAAAACCATTTTATTGAAGACTTTCAATTATTCTTGGTTTCTTTTACGTATTGCCGAGTGAATAGATGAGGTTTGGCAATAGAAGACGTTAGGCAACCGCGAATAGAATTACATTTCACCAATTCGAATTTGTTCCTCTGCATCCGGATTGAAATTGAAATGGCATCCTCGGCATTCTTGCTTCGCTCTGGCGCATTCGCCTGGCAATTTGCGAACGGACCGAGAAAATGATCTCGTTGCTCGGGATATTTAGTAGCAAACGAGATCCGCTCTCGTTGTCCTGTGAGCTTCTATAGGACTCGATTCGTAATCAGGAGTTACTATGGTGACAAGAGATGTCGTCAGAGTTAACGGTTGTTGCCCAAAATTCCGAGTGACATTGGCTGCATTATTCGGTCGGGCCTTTGCGAAATCAAAAGGACGTGGATGTAGATGGATATTCGCGTAGAATGGCGCGGAATTTCGCCGCGTAGTTGCTGTAAGTTATGTATCTTTCGAATTATATCGCCGCTATATGTACGAAATGCCTGTACAACTTTTATCCTGATTAATAAGTTTGGATATTACAACAATTATTAGCAAAATAATTGCTATTAAGATAGTTAATCGGAAGATATGTTTCAACATTTACCTCGCCCTCTAATATCGAAAATCAACGCGCGCCTTAATTATGTAAACTATTTTAAGGCAGATAGTAAACATGATCGGACGAGAAAATAGATAGCTTTAACACCCTCGTTAAGGTTTGACAACCGGGCGAGAAAGCAAATTAAACTTGAAGCACTCAAGATAGTGCTCAAGGCAAGTATTTAACGGGCGAAGCGTTTACATTAACGCTACAATTTTTTTATTTCCTTTAATTGTTTTTGTTTATTGATGGAGTAAAGTGTCTGCTGTCGCGCCTTGTCATCAGATACTGTAAAGCAAGATCGATAAATATCATGATTTTGCTGCTGCACGAAAACAAGTAAGCGTAGGATACGATATGCATAGATTTCAGGAAAATTGAATTTCAAAGTAGGTTACATGAGACAAGTTTTCCAGGAGAAGCAGATATGCGCATATGCAAAGAATAAACAAAAACGAACAATCGTGCAGAAAATAACGAATCTCGCCTGACAAGCTTTCGACTTGCAATCGTAAGTTTCGCATTTCATCTCGTAACTAGACTATGCAAATCAGTTTCACGTTACCCATATTTCAATAAATTTCAATTTTAGACTTATCTTATTTTATGGCTTTTCCATTTTAATTCAAGTGAAAAATTTAAATTTATTAAGATTGATTAAACGTTATTTCGGAATTGTATGTGATTGATGATCTCACTTTGCACAATATCGTTTGTCTTAGTACTTTCGTACGCACATAGCCATAAAGTAATTTTTTTATTTTTAAGAAAAAATTACGTGTGAAATATCACGCAAAAGAAGCAATAACCGTGCTTGCGCCAAATGTATGAAATTGCTGGTAGTGCAAGAAATATGTTTCAAAATGCATTGCATAGGTACTTACGTAACTCATCATTCATCTAGATTTTACTAGAAACATTTGGTAGAAATGATTTTTACGCGGTTTATTTTTGCACAGAATTTTCAATGCAAAAATTTATTTCTGAATTTAATGATCTTAACTCTGTTATATATATATATATATATATTAATTCCTATTACATTCCCATCACATCAAATCATCATCAAATTTCCATCACATAATTCCATATATCGAAATGCAATTGTATTTATGATTGTAATATCATGATATTTATTGTAAATTATATAACGAGTTGGATTTTACGTTTTAGTGCTTTTTTCTCATAAATCTTTCATTTTGATTTTATGATACATAAAATACTTTTTTATATCCGTTATTTAGCAATAATCCAACCTAAAAAAACAGGTACGGTTTAAAATAACAATTACGCAAAGTAGAATTGTAAAAAGCATTTTGAAATTGAGAGTAATTTGTCAGGCGAAAATCGAATGACGTTTCTGGCGTTTGTTAGGAATTTTTTTCAAATTTGCGATATTATCTCCCTCTTTTTTCGCCTGAAGATAAATTATTTCTCATCGGCATCTCTTTTATTTGCGTTCGACGTTTTACACCGAAGGCGGAGCGTAGCTAGTTTGAAGATAGTGTTTCTGTATCGACCCGTACACGCAGTGTTATGCAAATACGAACACTTTCTCATGAGATGCTGCCGCGCGCATGATAAATCACGAAATTTAATCAGGATGAGGGGTCGCGGAGAATCTCGCTGATCACGCTACGTGTGCGCATAAAACGCGATCAATTAGCCTGCAAATCTCCGGCCACATAGTATATCGCGCTTTTGATGTTTTATGGTAAAAATCCTCACACCGAACGCACTTTAATCCTGATTGCACATTAAACTAAAAATAAATTCTTTTTTTTAATAATTTTTGAATGTTTTATACTTTTGCGCTCAATTTTTAAAAATATATTTAATTTTAATAATAAAACAACGTAATATTTTGGTTATTTTGGTCTGTATATTTCAGTTTATAACTTTATTAGCGATGAGAAATAAAAATATTCCATGAATCAATGAGTGGAATGCAAACTCGATCTTTTTCCAGTTGTGAAAAGATACATTGGTCGATGTTTGCAATTTTTTTAAATTTATTTTAAAAGAAATATAAAGTCGAAATACGTATGGTATTGATTCTATATTGAATATTTTTTTGCCATTGTTAACTATTTGCTTTTTATTTTATAAATAATATATCACGAATTCAATGATTTAATTCAATTTTATGATTTTATTCACTTATTTTAATTTTATTTACCTGTTTATTTTTCTTTATAAATAACAAATTTCTGTATTGTCGAAGTACATCTCGAACACTAAATAATCTATTTTGAAGTCTATGATAAGACTTAATAAAAATTTATTAATTTGTTTACAACAGCCAAATTTAGCAATAACAAGGAGCAACAATAGTTCCTATTGTAACAGATTGAAATTTGTATATATACACATAACTTTCTGACAATATATTTTTTTACAAACTTTTACTCGATCGCGAAAGTTCAGTGTTCCGCTAGAGATATTCTGGAATTCTATTTTTTTTAGCTGTGAATTCTTTAATCAATTTGGAATCAATTTTTCTTGAATAAAAGCGTCGAAACATGTTGTGTATTAATATCAACGAAACGGACCGTCAAATGCATGGACTTTTGTTTCTCTTTTTTTTTTAGCCGAGGCAATAATCCACCTTTGATAGGGTGCGCACGCCAACTAGTACGTTAATACCTTTACATTCAAACGGAGAACGGTTTATCGCGTGGAAGCCAGCGCAATAAATAAACCGACAGTTCGTTTTGCGCCGGGCGTGCGAATGAATGGAAACGCGCGCGTTGCATGTAAAAGCAACGAATTAGAAAACTCGTAAGAAAAGTAATGGAGGTCGTCAGCGCATATAACCGTTCTGAAGAGCCGATCGTTATTGAGACGGCGGGATATATACCGCGGACGCGAGCACGCGCTTTCTTCGTCACTGTCGATACGAGAATTCAATTTCTGGTGAAGCGCAACGTGGGCTGTTCCATTGACGCGGTTGTATATTATAGTAATGCACAGACGGATGCATTTGCACGCTTTTATAAGCATATAAAAATACATCCCTGATTGTTATAAATGATCGTTGCTGTATGAAATCAGATCATTGTTATGCGAATGCACGTAATCTTAAATCCACAAAAAGATTACACGAGCGAATACTAACTTGCTAATTAGTAAATATTATACATTAGTAAATATTATACATGAGTCTGAAGAACTCGAGAGAAGAAAAAAATTTTTACATCGCGGAAATTGCTTCTCTCTCTATACACTTACTTAAGTAAATAATTTTCCCTATTTCAATTACCCGCAGTGCATTAAG